TTTGGCAAACTTTGTACAGGTTGGCTGTCATGGGGAAAAAAGCAACCTGCCGCTCAGAGCCTCTGGAATAACAGCTGATGAAGGGCAGCTGCCTTCAAAAATGGATCAGCTTGTTCTCAGCTGCTGGTAATACACTCTGAAGCTTTCCAATAGCACTCCCCAGTCACAAATGGTGACAAACCTTTCATTTTACTTTCCCTTCCACAGCCACTGTTGCTGCAGCAGCAAATTAGCTGCCTTGAATTTCTCTCTTTGTCTGCTCAATAGCATCCTGGTGGTATCAATGAAGCTGGTGGGAAGGAGCTTCTGCCTTCTGCCATCATTGTTCCTCAATCATTGTTTCCCCCTGCCTAAAAAGGGACCATGGCCATCACCACTGTGGGAAGGTGAGAAACCAGCTTGGGGTCGTCCTCCAATGCACTGGCAACACTCAGCTCACCTGACAGCCACAGGGATGGGGCACAGGGATAGGAGAAGGCAGGGGGACCATCAGAGCACTGCACAGGATGGGCTTGGTGGAGCAACAGAAGGAGCTGAAGACATTTTGAGAGCCACAATGAGATGCTAAAGACACAAAGGCAGTCCTGGGGATGGCAGAGGCACCAACCAGCCCAGGGACTTCATGCAGCACTGACAGGGGCTGGGGGGTCCTTGCTGGCAGTGGAAGGGTTGCTGTGCTGTGCTGTGCTGTGCCTGGGGCCCTCCTAAGGTCCTTAGTGCACCAGGTGACTCTGCAGGGGCATCAATGCCCTGGCTCTTCTGGGTGCATCTCCTGGACACCGCAGTGGCAACAGTGTGGTGGTCTCTTGCCATTTCAAACTTGATTTTAAAAGTCAGGTTGGCTTTAAGAAGCTGATCCAGTTCATATTCCTGAGAGGGACAGATTTACTCCCACTGAGGGACTAGAAGGCTTGCTCTGGGTTCCCCATTGAAACCCAAGACCACGCTTGGGCCAGAGCCACGTCTTCTTGACTATGCCAGGTTGGTGCAGGAGCCAGCTTGGTCCTTCCTCTGCGGGGAACTGAGGGGGAGATACCGAGTTACCTTCTCACTTTTCTTCTGCCTTGGCCTTGTATTGAAGAGGATGGAGACCATCATCTTTCCAGCCAAAAGGAAGAGATAGGATGGTCATTGGTTTAGCTACTACGTGCCCTCGTATCACCTCTCCTCATCACCACTCTCATAGGCTCAGCAGCCAGCCAGTGCTTCAGCCAAGGACTCTCGTCATCCCTTCCCACCCCATCTAATGGCTTCTCTTTACACCTACATACCACAAACATTTGGGTTTGTTTTTGCAATAGCATGTGTGCCATCTGGCACAACGGAACACACCTCCCCCGAGTATCTCCACAAGGCAGAGCTACAAAACACGGCTCGTTGTGACAGCGTGGTGGGAATTAAGGGAAGGAGCTGGTGCTATAGCCAGGCAGTCAGAGGTGTCTCCCAGGCTTTGCATCCTGCATGAAATGCACACTGGAGAAAAATACAGAGACAGTTCCAGGAAGTCAGAGACTCAGCAGCCCTCTCAGTCGAGTGTTCTCCACTACATAACCACACTTCTGTTTCTCTGCACTTTCCTATGGATCATGTTGTTTTTGAAGTAGCTCTAGGGAGGCAAAAGAAATTGTGACTCCCCAGTCTGGTCTCTAATCTAGACTCCTCAGAGACGCAGCTTTGAACATCCAAATGGAAATCTCACTTTTATCCAGAGATACTTACTGTAGTCCTCAGGAACATACAAACGCTGGGCATTGGCACCATTATCATTGTCTTCTCAAAAAGAGAGAGCTTTTCTCAGCTTTCACAGAGTGTATCTTCATATACTTTCCCCAGGCATTCCCAGCTCCAGACCCCAGATGAGCACAGGTCTCTTCCTCCAGCCACCACCTATAGCACCTGCAGACACATCCTCCTGCACCCAGACAGAGAACCACTAGGAACTCCTGCTCCTCTGCAAGGGACCACTACAAACTCAGTACAACAACTTAAGGAAGGAGAAGGTGATGATTATTTTAACCTGTTGCTCAGGTTATTTTAACCTGCACACCTACAAACTCACACATTCACCAAAAGGTTGTCAGGGTCACTGCGTGTGACACAGAGGACAAGGGACACCCACTAGCAAGTCCTAATGACAGCTCTGGCATCCCTCCTCATTGACAGCAAAGAACTGGGTTCTGGGACACATTTTTCACATGCTTTAGGAGTCAGTGGTTATACAGGCTGACCTTTATCTCAGCATCTTGGTTACTCACCCTCCATAAACCCTAGGAAAGCTGCTGCCTGCTGCCTCCTTTTCATCATTTTGAGCACATTATCTAATCCTTCCTCTTGGAACCACAGGAAGAACAATCATGGTGTAACACTGCTCCCATTATCAGGGAACAAGTCTTCTAGGGATGAGCCATCTGTGCTGTGGCCTTATCACAGCACAGACCTCCTGGTCCTGACATAAACCACTCATCCTATGGTGTTTACCCATTTGTTTGCTGTCAGTCATGTCTTTGGCCATGAGCACAGGCTAAAGTACCCCTTGCTCCAGAATTCCTGCTGGTGTTTTTACACACACTTTTCCACCCACACTCATTCCACACCAACCTTAGTACTTCCATTACAAATCTCTACAGTGGAGTCAGCCTAGCCAGCTTGCTCTGCCCTTCTCAACCCAGGGAAATATAAGTCCCACAGGGAGCTTGTTGCCACCTCCTCTCGTGTCTGAGCCAAAGAAAATCACCCTCACCACCCAGTGGACACAGGGAGCCTCTGATACACCATGAGATCACTCTGGGTTGCAGTTCCCAGCGCTGGGCAGATCAACCAGTCTGCTATCAGTTCAAGCTAACATACATATCACACCTTCCCTTTCACAGGCCAGGGTCTTGTAGGTTAGAACTAACCCCCAGGACTGCTTTCCCTGGATATTTGGTAACCACGGCAGACTACAGAGCAAATCTACAATTCACCCTTCCAGGATCCATTAGAAACGCCAAAGTGTGTCATTAACTGAGGTACATCAGGGCCATGGAGAGCTGGAGTGATGCCAGCTTGTAAACTGTGTGACAGTGAGGGATGTGCTGAGGAACTTCCTCAAGGAGTTGCACAGGCAGTGACAATGATGAAACTCTGAATGGATGTGACAGCTTTGAAGCTGACATCAATTGTCCATCAGTCACCCGCATGAAGCTTGTGCAGGCACAGAGAGAAACGATTTCTCACAAACTTAGGCCTGCTGTCAATAAAAAAAAGCTGCAGAGAAACTCCAGTATGTCTCAATGTCCACTTCTGGGAGGTGCCCAAGACATTCAGACATCTGCATGAATTTGTGATCGTTGCCCTTCATCACAAAAACAATATATCATGTCAAGCCAAAAACCAAAGGGATTTTGATAGGAATAAGTAAATAAATGGCTACGTAAGTATCCCAGAGGATGTGGATTTGGATCCAAAGCTGGTTTTGTTTTTTCTCTACCATCTTCCCGCAAAGAAGGCAGAACACAGCCAGGGTGACAGATGAAGGTGAGTGTCACACAGCACCCAGGCCTCTCCATAAATGCCAGGTGCCACCTCTTCCTTGAGGAAGGAAAGAAAATAGGGACAAGTGGCCAGGAAGGGCTCCAGCAGGCAGCACCATCTGCTGCCAGCCCTCACAGAGCCCTGGTGAGCTGCGGGGGCTGATGCTCAGGCAGAAAACTCTCCTGCCAGCTCTCAGCCCAGGCACAGCTCCTCTGCAGAGAGCTGCTGGCTGTATCCCAGCCTGACTGACAAGATAAACATGAGTGTAGCACCACTTCTTGGGGCAACCAGCACAGGCTGACTCAGCACTGCCTGCCTGGAAGCTGGAGATCAAAATCCTGAGCATAAGAGAAGCCAAGAAAACTCCCCAAAACTGTAAGGCTGGCACAGCCAAACATCTTCAGGTTCATGTCTTTCTGCACTCCCTGCAAAGTCTCCTGTCTTTATACATGGGGCACAAAGTTAGAAAAGTGAATATTCATTTGGATGATTTTATTCTCTTTTTTTTGGTTTGAAGCATTTGAATCATTTGGCTTGAAGTTTGCAGTTCAGCAGGGACAGAAAGGGGATCTGCTTTCATACTGGAGTTTTATTTACACAAACTTTCTTAAATTATTATTAAATTATTATTGCTCCCTTCTTTACTACTCTAATATATACACTAAATCTAAAGAATGACTTTTACCCAATCAAGCAGCCAACATACAACCAGCCTACAGTACCCACAGCTCTGCTGACCAGTGCCCCAGAAACAGGACAGGGAGGTTTTCCAGCTGTGCTGTCATCACAACACTCACAGCCCACTCCCACCAGGACTCTCTGACCGCACCTACGCTCTGCCTGCGATCTGGAAAACAATGTCACCAAGCAAATGCAGAGGCCCAAGCCGTGAGGGGAACATCTGGAAGGCAATCATCTGGCAGGGCTTGGGATCCTCAGCCATGCCTGGTACACGGTGCAGGAGGAGTCCTGGCACAGCAGCACAGTATCCATCTTCTGCAACAGGCTTTAATAGAGATTATTCTGTTGCTTGAGAAGAAGCAATGCAGGCAAATCTTAGGAAACATAAACCTCATCTGTGATACAGAAGAGCCTAAGAACTTATTTGCTAAAGCAACCCTGACCACACACTGCCAGACACCTGGCAAGCCTCATCCACAACCAGCTTTTTTACTGCAGGCCCGGGGCATTTACAAAGAAGCAGCTGCAGGTATAACAAGACTCACCCTAGCTTTAAAGATGCACAGCAGTGACTGTCAGTTGACTGAAAACCTACGCTGGGAAGTTAATGATCCAAATTCAGGTAAAGACCAATGTTCCAGGGGCTCCCCATCCTCCCAACAGCTGCAGGTATTAGATGCACATTTGCACCACCAGTTTCAGGGTGAACTGACACCTGGAAGAGCTCCCCCATAATCTTCACATGCCCCTTCCACTTTCAGGGAAACCCATGGCTCTGTCTACATAGGTAAGGAAACTTCTCTTACATTTTGCAGGGCATCTTGATACTGTGGCAGTGATGAGAGCTGTGACTCAGAGTGGTACGGGGACAATCCTTTCCTCAGAGTCCTCAGGTCCCCCGTGCTGGACTGCTGCAAAGACAAGGACAGAAAACAGGACACTGTATCAATGAGATAAAGGAAAGCTGTGCTGCTCCTGGCCCTGTCCTGGCTTTTCCCACGACCACTTCTGACCTGTTCTCATTACCTCTGCCTGCAACAACAGTGATAGTAAACACTGTAACAAAATGCTTTTTTCATGTCCAGACCTGGAGAAAACACCTGCAAGCAGCTGGAAGTGAACTGTTCAAGATCTATTCCATTAGATGATACAGCAGGAAGGCATTTTTGTTTTACCTAAGTTCCTACACATTCATTAAAAACATTTGTTAAGATGCACATAAAAAAATATTTTTAAGATCTCAGATTAAATCAAAATCAGAAAAAAAATACATCAGGGGACATTTTTTAGATTGAGAGTTTGTAAACAGTGCTACTATGATTCACCTAAACTCGCAAAACCTACCTTGATAGAAAGGGTTTCTTATTTGGTTACAAATTTGCCTGCAGCCACAGGTCTTTAGCAAAGTCAAATACATAAAGGTCATCTATATGACCCTAGAAACCAGGTAAATGCAATCAATAGTCTGCACTCAAAGGGAGAAGCAGTACTGGGTGTTAGGATGACTGAATAATCTCCCTGGGACAAAGTTTCTGCATTGTGTTGTTAGCTAGCTCAGTGGTTTTGAAATGTGACAGTCCTAGAATGAGAAGAGTTTTTCATTTATAAAAGTACACTCACAAAAAGCCAATACTCAAGTAGCCAAAATTAAAGGTCTGGGAGAATATTCTTTCTTTATTACCAATAAACATCCTCATTAACTTTTCATATTTTTAAGAGTATCAAGTACTGCACTGTCCTCTACTTTAAAGCTACAAAATCATGACCTTTCAGATTTTTATGCTCCATTAAGACTTTCAACTTGCTTTTGCTGTAGAAATGATGTTTTCTACTTCAAAAGAACCAAAGAAAAATCATTGGTGCAATAAAATTTATCAGGAAATCTCATAAATCAGCTCAATTGTATAAAAAAATCCCTCAGTAACCCAAAGGCCCGAGCATAACTGAGACTTTAGGGACTGTGGCCGTGTACAGATCTCTGGAAATACTGAAAGTTCATTTACATTTCCTGCTCCAAGAGAAGAATTGGTGCAGTCAGAGTGGATACGTCATTTTCTATCAGTGTCAGAAACATTTTCTTGTAGCTACATGGCCTGTTTAGCACACATTCATCTTTGGTTTTATTTCAAAATGTTGTTTTAATACGTTAAAACTTCTACAGTGACTCAGTGCTTACACAAACCTTCTGGAGCCCTCACCCTATCAACTTTCTTTTTATAAGCTGTAAGGAGAAGGGAAATTTTCAAGAAAACCATCATGAGAAATGGATGCTAGTCCAGTATCATGCAATCTGCTGGGAAATGTTGTGTCTCACATGGAATCAAGCGATACAGAATGACTTCACCATATCAGATGTCTGGGATTCCCTTGAATTTACGAAGTGGCATCAGAGAAGATCTGGCCTATATTTCTTTCACATTTCACAATAGAGTCAGAGAGAGATCTGAAGGAGATAACTCCTTCTGAGGCTGAAAAGTGACTGCTGCAAAACTGAGTTGCCACCACTATTCCTGGGAGGTATTTCAAAGGAAGGTTAGCAGGTCACAAAGGAAGATGATGAGAAGATTCTTCATTTACTGGCAGTGTCCCAGGCATGTGATGTCTCTTGCTGGTTATCCTGAAAGAAATTTACCTTGCCTGGTTTTCCTTCCACTGCCCTGCTGTGTGCAACCTCTTCTTCACTACTGTGTGGCATGGGGACACAGCAACCTCCTGGAGAGGTCCTGACACTCTGCTACCCATTCATTTAGGTTGTCAGCTCAGGAGCTCGTGCACCTTTCTCTGATATCCATGATGAAGGGGCATTTGCACGGCCAAGGCAAAAGCAGAATAAAACAGCAGAGTAAAAATGTGAGGCTATAGCTTTGTGATGGAGACCCCAAAGGTTGCAGATCTCCTCGAAGGCTCTGCTCCAGAAGGGCAGGCGTTGCCTTGACAGTGTTTGGAGGCTCTGGATTGCTCAGACTTATGCAAAGCACAGAGACCTGCAAGATGCACAATACTTATGGGGCAGCAGGAGTATAGAAACAGGCCCAAGAAAGAGAGATTTGGTAAACATTTGTTTGCATCCCGGAAACTTGCTCTCTTGCCCCCAGCTCTGAATGGGTTGGTCTACATTCAATGCACCACATGTTTCATCACGCTACAGCTTGTCCTCATAGAAAGTCAGAACGCTTTGTCCACCAAAGGAAGGAAGGCAACAAAACCCAAACGTAGTCAACATGCAATATCACATTATTGTGCCTAAAAATATGCTAGTTTAAATTGATTTAATTAACTGCCCTATGCTCCTGCCTGAAGCAAAAATCTGCATTAATTTCAATTTGTCTTAAATTGGTTGAAATTGTGTTGGTAAATACACAGATACAGTCAAAACTCTGCTCTAACAAGTGTTTATAATGGATTAGTTCTATTGCTTTTTTAAAGCAAATCCCATTTAAGACAGTGCACTAGTGTGTGACAAAACTATTGTTAGGTTGTTTCAGTGACTGCTGATTATGAATATGACCTAATGCATTCAATTTGATGGAAAGATTCCCACTGAGTTCAATGAACATCAAAACAAGCTCTTAATTAAAGAATAGAAACAATAAAGAGAAAAAATAGAAGACAAAAAAAAAGACATCTAAGAAATAAAAATGCTGAACAGAGATCTATCCAGAAGGGGAACAAGGTGTTTGGGGCATAGAGTGGGTTTGCTAGGGCAAGAAGAATTCTTCATCTGCCACTATTTATATGACATCCATGTTGGAGATGGCCAAAGTAATACTTTTTCCTCCCACTGTCTGTCATGAAGATAGTCCCTTTCATGAGCAGTCCATTCAACGCAATTTTCCTTCTATATTTTCCAGAAGTTATTTCAAAATGTATCTTACTCTAATTGTTTGGGTGGCTTGCCTTTTTTTTTTTTTTACAACAGGCTACCAATCACAGTTCTGCACTATTTATCTTCCTTGCATTGGAAGAAAATATGTATTTCTTCACCACAGAATGAAAACTGCTTTTTTCTTCCTTTTTAAAATTAAAATAGTGCAGTGACACATCTTCAACAGACCCCCCTAAACATTTACACATTCCTTGGGCTTTGCTATCAGTGTTAGAGCTAACCAGGAAAAGAAAGTGAATCCCTCATTAAAAAGCGATATGACTAATGATGCATCAGAATGAGTAGCCATTATTCCACTTAAACCTAAATTAAAAATCCTGATATTTGCATTGTCAATTCATTCACAAAATGAAATCTCTTATTACCTTACCTAATTTTCATTACTGAGATGTAAGTGGATCCCAAATTGCTTTTCTACTCAGAAAGGCATTTTAAAAGTACAATCCATGATCATCTCTGTTCATCATCATTGCTGGAGATTATGTTGCCAGCTAATGGGCAACATGTCTATAATAAATTATCCTTCAGGTAAAATCACTTCACATTTCTGGAGTTCCAAGGAATTTATCAGCAAAATCATTTTCATCTGAACTAAAGCTCCCTGGGAGCGTGCCGTTTCGATTAAACTTTTATTGGAAACATTTCCTAAGCTGAGGAGCAGCGAAGAGGGAGGGAGACAGCAAAGGAGACCAAGAGAGAGCTGAGGAGACTCACAGTCAGTCTTTATCCAACCTGATCAAATTGTGTAACCTGAAAAACACTTGTCCCCAGCAAAAGCCAACAAATGGCTATTGACTACTCCAGAGTGGCTCTTGCTCTTTCATGTGAATTTTTTTCAAACACTAGTTTCATCCAAAAGCTAAACAAAATGAAACAAAACAAAAAACAAACCAAACAAACAAACAAAAACCCCACCCCCAAAAAAAGCATCTCCTGACTTTCCCAGCAGTACAAAAGTGCAGGACCTGCCCTCAGTCTAACTCAGCACTACTCCACATGGCATTGCCTCCCTTTCCCAGCCGATGAGCACGGGGATAAGACTGCAAACCCAACAACTTTTCCTGCAGTGCAGTGCAAACCTGTGCTACCCACTGCCAGCACTGACAGCTCCAGAGTGGTCACTCCAATACAATCGCTCTTCAATACTTTGAAATAATGACATGGCATTTATTGCTAAATTTTTCGACTAGGCTGAACCTAGAGTGACCCCAGAAGATACTGTTCTTGAACCAAAGCCTGAGAGCTTTGTCCGCCTTGTATGAAAGAAATGGACACAGACATGCCCCTCCCATTAGGGAAGGGAGTTTGGCCTACTCGTATCAGTGGGAAAAGAAAAGGACCTGCAAATCAGGGTTTTAGTAAAAATGGACTGCAAACCCAACTGCTTTTTTTCTGTCTAGAAAACAGAGGCAATTTGATTACAGAAGCAATTTGATGGGTGGAAAGTGGTATTTTCCATAACAAATAATATATAATTTTAAACAGAAATAGAAATTGAAGTCTTGATGGTTACCTATGCTTAAAATTACATTTAAAAAAAAAAGGCAGAACAAAACAACAGAAAAACAGCAAACACTTGTTCCTATCAAAGCTTTCTATCCTGCTAGCAGGGAGAAGAAATGGTGGCCTCTGACTTTTTGACCCACTGTGCTGAGTGATTCAATTGAAAAATAACACAAATAACACAAGAAGATGGATGGTGTTTGGGGTATTTTAAGGTCAAAGTACTACAAAGAAACATTTATTTTCCTTTCTGTTTCTGTCCAGTAAAGTCAGATCAGCGCTGTGGCTATGTTGAACCAACTGCGAAGATAAAGTGTTGAAAACTTAGAGACAAGTTAGACAAATTATCTTTTCTGTTACCCTTCAGTGTTACTTCTGCTAGAATGGAGAAAAAAGAAGAAACGGATTTAATTTTTAAACACTTTGATGTAACAAAATGGACTGTTCTTAACAGAAGTTAAACACAGAAAGACAGAAATTTACTTGACAGAAAGTCCTCAGCATTTACGAAAGAGATTAGCA